ACCCTTTGACCCCTCCCAATGGGCAGCAGGACCAGGCAAAATCACAGGATTCCCAAGGAAACAAGGGGCTGTCTACAAAGGGGGCATGCTTCTGTCTACCTTTTCCACGAGTTGCCTGAAGAGGTAGGGTGGGCTTTCTTAGCTTCAAGGGCAGCTGGGACAGTTCCACATCTCTCCTGGACAGGAGTTCTCTCAGAGACCTGTTTGCTCCGCCTGCCTCCTTCCACTTAGACCCAGGAAGTGGCCTTGGAACCACAAGCTGATGCCAGCATCTCTGCAGGCAGGCAAAGCTCGGTGTCCAAAGAATCGTGCTGGGGAGGAAGCAGTGCGACTAAGCAGACAGGGCTGTGGGATCCTAGGACCTCCTAGGTCATCTCTGAGGGATTGAGGAGGGCTAGCTTGGAGTCTCCACATGTTGAATCCCACTCAAGTCAGCAACAGGTTACGTTGGAGGGAGCAAAACCAGGGCTGATTGGATGTGATAACTGGAGGACGCAAATCTACTCACAACACATATCCTGTCTTTGCCTACACAAAGCAGGCTCTGAGCTGCTGCTGTGTGTTTCAGAAAAGTGGCCGAGAAGACTGTAAACTCTGTGCAAAAGTCAAGAGCAAATAATGGGCACCCAGGTCCTCCCTGAGCCTACTCCTGAGGAATGGGGTACAGGCAGATATCAAAGCCTGTTTCAGGCAGTAGAAGCTGCAGCCCAGAACTTGAGGAAGAAAGCAGCAATACGAATGAAATAGGTTCTGGCCACTTATGGATGGAATTCTAGGAGAGGTTGATTCCTTTCCCACGTTCCTTTTTTATCACTGCCACCACTTCCCTCTTCAGGTCTTTCCTATGCCTTTGTTAATCTCCTCAGAGCACTCAGGGCAAAAATGTCCACACCAACTTCGCCCTTCTAAGATGAAAGGGGGCCTCTTCAACAGACTATATTTATCCTGGAAATGGCTGGTATTTTAGTCTTCTAAATGCTGTGCCCACACTCAGAAAAGGGAACTTCCCTCCATGTAAGCCTCAAAACTTTAACTTCAACTAGCATTGACTCTAACCAGCTGTGTGACTTATAGCCCTATCACTTCATCTCACTTGTTTTCCCTATCTGAAGAATGGGTGGTTTGAAGACCTGTCCAGGCCTGAACTCTAGTGATTCAGTGATGGTGTAAGACTCCTAAAAGCCTTGACAAGGCACTTTCTCATTTGGTCATCGATGGGAGGATGGACACTGTAAATGCATTTTCCTCCAGGAAATCTTCATATGCACTGGCCATTGTGGAGAGGGGGAGGTGGGGTTAAAGCCACAGGTAATCCCGCCTAGAAGACTAACATGGACTTGTTGGGTGTCCAGATAGGGCTCACATCTGGCTGGCTCTCTCTCTCTCTCTCTCTCTCTCTCTCTCTCTCTCTCTCTTCCCTGACTTCATTCTTTTCCTGATGGTGTCTCATTCAGGAGCCAAGTTGCTGGACACTAGCAATGTGCACCATTCATCCGGCAGAACAGTGTCAGGGCTTCCTCTACGTGAGAGTTTCTAATGCATCATGGACACCACACCTCCTGGGACCCGCTTGAAATAGGAGGGCAACGTTACTGCTTTGCACGGGGAAGCTAGGGTGTTAAAGTCAGGGCAATATTAGGACTGGAAATGACACTTAACCCTTTGGTCCAGTAGAAAGAGCTTAGGTGCCTTTTCTTTCCTCAAGATCCACCCTCATACAGGACTTATCATATGCTTGTGCTGGGCCATTAATGAGGGCTTTTTTTCTCATTTTGGCAGCTCCAAATGACCATTTGCTTTACAGCAATCGGTCTCAAATTTATTTCACCTTGGAGTCTCATGAGGATGCACTGCATGATGCAGAAATAGCATGTAAACTTCGGCCAATGGGTTTCAAGGTGAGTGTGGGACAGGAGGGATGGGAAGGGGCTATACTGCAAAAAGGGATTGGCAGGAAGGGCTGTCCCTCTGGGGCAGGAAATGGTCACTCTTGGCAGAACAAGGAGAAGGCTTTCTGAATGAGTTGGACAGTGCAGGGCATCCCTTGGTAAAGGGAAGTCTAAGTCTGCAAGGGATCTCAACAAGTCTTTCCTTCAATTGGTGACCTTCAGGATAACTGGTCTTCATTTTTTTTTCAAACTATGGAATCGGTAGCCAAACAGCCTGACTTCATGTCTCTCAGCTCTGCAATGTTTCTTAGCCGTATGGGAAAATTTTCTGTGTCTAATGCCCTCATCTATAACATGTGTATATTCAAAGCAATACTAAATAGGGTTGTTGTGGGGATTATACAAGATCATGTAGGGGAGATGCTTGGAATGATGCATGCAGCATTATATAACTGTTTGCTATCACCACCACCATCGTCATCACTCTTATAATTTTCTAGGATTAAGATATTGCTGTCCCGGTCCTTAAGAATGTCTACTGATACCCAGGCTTCCTGAGAGCTTAAATGACTTTCCTTAAAGAGATCTTCATATTTGCACAATGGTTGTGCCATTTTGAATCGTTAACACAGTCATTTGATATGTCAGTATGTATACCCCCACAAAAAAATCTAGATCACATAGGAGAGAAGAAAGACAGAGTAGACATCAAGACAGGGGATACTTGAATACAAAGTACCACTTTCTACATCTTTCCTGGCTTCAGGAGCAACCTCCTCCAATTGACTGTATTTTGTTTAGAAGATTAGAACAGGGTCTGGGCCTTAATGTCTGCAAAATGTGACCATAGGAAAGTGGCTATACTCTCTGACACTCAAGTGCTCTTATTTGTTAAATGACGCTATTGCTATCTGCCATGATTGTTTCACGGGTATGCACAAGGATCAAAAGTGAGAATGGCAAATGGAACATTCTGCAAGCTATAAACATTACAGGATCTTGGTTTAAGGTCCTCTGTATACAACCTGAGGGTGGGAAAAGCAGTGTCTGCAAGACCAGGATCACGGTGCCTATCTGAATCTCATGAGAACAGGTGTCCTATGAATCCAGAATGTTTCTGATGGTAGAAGGACCTTAGACTAGGCAATACCTTCAATAATCTCCAGTCTCCCAGTCAGTCTAATTAAAGACACTCTATGCAGTAATTTACATGCAAAATCACACTGAATAGGATAAATACTACAAAATGGTTTAAATCAGTTTAGTTCAGATGTTGCTGCCTAATGCATTTTGATGTTAAACGTATGGAAACATTGGATAATCAGAAATTTTTCAGATCTAGGAACTTCAGGTAAGGACTTGTGAATTTGGGTGTGGTGGCATGTGCCTGTAATCCAAGGAAGATCATGAGTTTGAGGCCAGCATGGAACATTTCAGTGAGCCTGTAATATTAGAGTGAATCTCACTGGTCTTTCGTGAGAGTGTTTTCTTTTTTTTTAAATCTTTTTTTAAGTTTTATTTTACTAGTTCAAATTAGGAACAAGCTTGCTTCAGATGTCAATCCCTTCTCCCTCTCCC